AGAAGAAACTAAAGTAAAAATAATTTTAAATGCAGTTGGTGATTGGTTAATTATTGAGTAGTCTCTCCTTTATTTCATTATTTATACATAATTACAAATTCTATAAATATGAAGTCAGTTTAACACCAAATTTAACAGCGACTTTTGTTTTAAAACAAGTTTTGGTAAATTTTGCTGTAATTTCCCAAAACATTTTTCCTGCCTCTAGTACTAAAATAATGTTTGCAAGATGTTGCCAGTGTAAGAATTACTTTTATGTTTATTATACTATAATTGTTGTTTATAATTTCATCAAGCATTGGCTTGAAAGTTTTCACTAACAATTCACATTATTTCCTATTATAAAATATTTTCATTGCTGTACTTAATATTTTTAGAAAATGGTGCAATGATTTTTACGTTTTCACAAAACTACAGAATAAACCACCATGTAAAATTTGAAAAATATCGATATTCACACACATTTTGTGGCATCAGTTTAAACAGTTCTCCTATTTGATAAATGTCTGATATGTGATAGCTTAGAAATCTTTTTTGAAACCAGTTATCTTTCAGTTTTATATGCACAGTTGAGGTAATGGATAGAGGCTCTGATTGAGGAATCAGAAAGCTGAGTTCGAATTCTAGTCAGGTTCGTTGCATTCACTTACATGCAAATAACCTCAGGGAAAGTTATGGATCCATTCTCTTCTATTCTCAGCTTTTTTTTTTTTTTTTTTTTAAATCAATTCACCCCAAGCAAGGTGATAATACCATTAAGATGCAAGGGACTATTAGGAATGAAAGAGAATGAGATTTTAGAAGGAACCCAAAACAGGAAATGAAGCATGAGCCTTTACTTTGGAATGTGAACTGGACAATAGATGAACCTATCTACTTTTATGGGTAAATAGCAGGACAGACTGAATACTATAGCCTTGAATAGCAACCAGTTTAGTAGAAGTAATTCAAAACTATGGATTAAAGAGTCTTACCAATCTGCAGTTGTCCAGGTGTGGTGAATATGGTTACACTCTTGAAGATATTGTCAATAAGAGAGGGGTTCTTCGAACAGGTATGGGAAATTCCTGGATTTGGATTTATATGAATATTTCATCTTTTTAAATAATAAAAAAAGACAGTTTTATATATAGAGAACCTTTGTGTGACGATGCTGAGTACTAGTTTGTAGCATAAATTATTTTTGTTTCTTCCCCAAGTCTATCTTACTTAAGAAACTGTTTTCTTGGTTTTTAGCTGAGTATATTTCTTTATGCTGTTTACAAGATTGTTTCTTCTTTCCATTGGGTTTCTTTGTCTTATTTCATTTTTCTTCTTAAGGCTTAATCACTCTATCTGCTAGAAAGAATGGACAACAAAAGAAACCTTAATTTTTATAAGTAATAATATTCTCATCTTAAAGAAAAAAATGATTCCTAGCTTCTGTTATCTTTATTTGTTTATTTCTGCTTCAATGATTGATTGCTTTGGTGCTTACAACTCTTCCAACAAATGTGTGCCTAGAATTTCAATTTACAAAGTGTTATTTCTTGTCTAAACAAATTCTTCTACATTCAATTTATGCAGCAAAGAGATGTAACATTGCCTTGACTGTTACTCTTTTGCTATGCCAAAATAGATGAGGATTATCTTGGTTGTTTGCTTATTTATCTATGTTTTTTCCTTGGTATTGGAACTGATGGAAGGCATTATTATTTCTCTTTTCTTTTTAATTTTAATAAGTAATGTCATCATTTAGGTCCATTCAAAATAATGGTTAATTTCTTAGCTATTTATTTTCTCTCTTCACGTTTTGTCTTGCATTCTTTTGACCTCTTTTCTCATCGACTGGGTTCTTTATCTTTATAGGCAACTCGGTATTTTTATGCTGTATGTTTGATGTCAATCTTTTTCTTTCACTTTTCCTGGATCTCTCTAACTTTTTCTTTATATTTTACTTTTATTTTGTTCTTATTTTTCTTTCTCTTTTTGAAATCTCTTCCTTTTCCCTTTCTCTCTCTCTCAAAAATTCTCATCTTTATCACTTTTCCACTTGAGAGCTAGAAAGCAGACATTCTTTGGAAGTTTCTTCCAGCCTGCCAAATAAATTCAGTTTCCATATTCTACCCCTCCTCTCTTCATCTCCTTTCTTTCTCTTTCCCTACCTCTCCAACTTCTTTTTTTCAAATCTTGACATCTTGAAACTCATCTAAATGGTTTTTGCATGTATGAAAACTCCCTTTTGCCAAAATAGTCAATGTTTGTCGTAATTTGTACAGCATTTCAGCCAGCCGTCTTAGAAATAACCTACCAAACAAAGAATTAATTAAATACATATATGTATGATTTTTTTTTATATAGTTTTGGAAAAATATTTTCTCACTTAAGACATGCTTTATTTATTTATTTTACAGATCTTGTTTCTTGCTTTCTCTGACTTGTATTGCCTTTTTGTGAAGACACATTTCCAGGCATTGTGCCCAAAAATTGTATTCTAGACACTTTAGGAAAACCATTCGTTTTTTTTATTTAAGAAAAGTTTAAAGTCCAATTATAAAGCAACATTTCAATAGATTTTAATGATGAAAAGTAAAACAAAAATATGGGGTGTAGCAATACACTCAGGTAATGAGTCAGGTAAATGTTTCTACCTGAACATATCTAGACATATTTCAAATTTTGCTTTCTTGAGATGCAAACCAGTTGAATCATTCATTGCCAAGCAATAGATGTTCATGTTATACTGTTGGCAAAAAATGAAAGTAATTTGGAGCAGCAGATTAATATCAAGTTTTGTGGGAAGATTGGTAAAAGTGCTAGTGAAATCTTGCAATGCATGCAAATTTTGTTTGACCAGTTGTGTGTATCTCAAGGAATATATAAGCTTTTTGAGAGGAATGTTTATATTTATTTATTTTTTTTTAAACTAGTGGCCTGTTAGCTAAGTTTGAGAATTGTCTGACACATATGGGTTTTGACCTGTAACTTTTGGTTATCACTTATTTAGTTTTTTTTTGTTCTCAGTATATGGACATATATCAACCATCTTTCTATTACATCATCTTCTGAAAAAATAAATAAGAATTTGATATAATCATTAACCTACACTTTACAGGATAGAAAAGTCATTTTAAACAATTCATAACCATTTCTTCAAGTGATGAAAGAAAAATTTCCTAAGCATTTTTTTGTTTTTGTAATTAGATGGTAATTCAAAAAGACAAAATGCGTGCAGATATATTTAAAAGATGTACCAGTTTTGCGATTCAATTTTAACTCAATAGGAGTAGATAGGTTTGCCTGTCAACTGGTTCACACTCCTCCTTGGTCTTTTGAACAGAAGTAAAGGTTTATCCCTTGTTTCCTGTTTAGGTTTGGGTTTCCATTTCCTTCTAAAGTTTACTTCAACTCTATACTTCTAACATCTCCACCTAAGCACTGAAATTTTATTTACTATTTATTTTTTCTTGAATAGGAGTAGGTAGGTTCTCACTTCTCTACAGTCTTTTGAACAGAAGTAGAGGTGTTGTGTAGAAAGAGTGAATAACATCTACACTTAGTATTGAAACCGGGACGTGTCTGTCCACCATAAGTAAAATGTTTGCTCATGGAACAGTGGCAAAAATCAGGTCACAAAGGTGTAGCACTTTCCAGTTGTACACTTGTCACACTGAACTACTGTGTTCTCAATCGTGTGATTAAACCTTTCTTCACTCAACCTTTTGTTTCCAGTGTTTGCCTTACAGTTTCACTAACCAGCAACTATGAGTGTTATACACATTTTATAACAAGAGGTTTATATCTTGTTTCCTGTTAACTTCCAGAGAATTCTCATTCTCTTTCACTTTCACTCCCAGTAGCCTCTTGCATCTTAGTAGCATTATTGCCTTGCTTAAGGTAAACTAATTAAAAAAAAAAAGATTCATAATGAATATGCTATGAAAAAAATTGAATGCTTTTCAGTGGAAATGGCTATTCAAATTCAAGATTTATTAGTTTTTTTTTTCTTGATAATAAAATTATGGAATTGTAATGTCTTTATCATCAGATAATTGATGTCTAACATTCAAACGAATCAATAAGAAAATAATTATCAATATTGTCATTGTTAAAATATTAACAATGACTGCAATGATAAAAATATTCCCAGGAAAGTCATTTTTAAAGACCTGACAATAAATCATTTGTGGGGAATTTTTTTGTCTTAGGAATTATTTTGCTAAACTATGGCAAGATTTTCATTCAGCATTTACGATTACTGGTTTTTATATCTCTTGTAAATTTTACCAAATGAACCAAAATGGGAACAATTTAGCTTTTTTAAGTTTTTGCCATAAAAGAGTTTCTTTGGAAATTGGCAAAGTAATTTTGAAAGAAAAAATCTATTGTTAGCTCAGTCAGTAGTTTTCCTCATTTTGTAAAGCAGATACAATGTCTTGAGTGTAAATAGTGCAAATAACTTGGTTTGTTAATGCAGCAATAAAAATTTGTTTGTGCTCAGATGGATTTCCTGAAAATTTTGGACTTTTTCTTTATCTTGCTTATATTAAATTCTATTAAAAATGCCAAACATTAGCATCTTTTCTATTTTTTTTTCTCTTCTAAAAAATGTCTATTTCTCTATATACTTAAGGTTTTTTCTGCAACTTAGTGTTTTTTATATACATTTGCGTGACATTGTGTATGCTATCATTGATTTGTGTGTTGTATGCATAAATGTAATTATAGTTATGTATATCATTTTCTAGTGTTTGGTATGTGTGTGTGCTAACATGATTGTGCTTTGCATATTTATAGACTGCTAAGTATTTGAGAGTCATTTTTAAATGTATTTCAGTCTAAAACTAAATTTTTCTCCTCTGACTAACATCCACTTCACTATCCTTGCAGATATTTTTTTTCTTAGCAAGTGAATTTTAAGACGCAGTCATGGATAAAAACTTATATCTTAATATTTATACTTACATCATCGCATCTTATTCTTCAGAATGGCTTGTACATTTGCTCTTATCTACAGGGGCTTACGGTCATGTCACATTGAAACACCGGTTCTCATATGATCACCAAAGTTAAGCAACATTGATCTTCGTTGGTACCTAGATGGGTGACCATTTGGGGAATACCAGGTGCTGTAAGCTTCGATGTGTGGTGTAATTGATAATGGCTCAGAATTGGAGATCAGAGAGCTGAGTTCCAAGTCCAGTTAGGCTCATTATATTCGCTTACGTGCAAATACTCTTAGGAAAGGTATGAATCCACCTCTTCTTCCCTTGAGCTATGGATTAATTAGTAGGACTTGTATCAGTAAATCATTATCTCCCAAAAATTCTTAGAATCTAAAATTATTTTGCAGCTTTAAATAACCCACAAGAACAAATTTATATTATCTACAATTTTGGTAATTTAAAATATACCTTATAATGTCTGATTTATTAACATTGTTTCTTTTATTTTTTTTTTTAAACCTATGTCTTGAGAAACATATTTTGTATTGATATAAATATATACATATTCAGCTGATATCATGAGAGTTCTAAAACTCATGCTCGGGAGAAAAAGAAATTGAACATAGAATAGGCTGCATGAGAGGTAATTTTGCCAAACACCACAAATTGCTACAAAGTTGAAAACTTGAGCCATGTTCTTATATAGAAATATCTAAAATGTCAGCTCTATATAACCGCTTCCTAAGATCAATGGTGAAAAAAGGCTTTGGGTAGGTGATGACCATCCTTCTTTGGACATTGTGGTTCTGATGCTACAAATTAACAAATAAGTAACTGTACCAAATATGTACACATTGCTTGAGAGCTATTAACGGTGGCAACAACAAAAATGGATAGCACATATAATTCAAGAAAATAATGACACAATCAAGATGTTGACATTCCACAGTACTTCAAACAAAAGGTTAGGAAAGAAGTACCCATCAGTACTGAAAAGAACTAGAACAGTTATTGGACTTGAGAAACCAATTTTCTTGAAAAATTGTTTGAATAAAAATATACAAATTTCAACTGAAAGCAGTACTGGCAGCTCAGTCAATGAATGCCAAATGTTTCCTTGTAGCTAATATTACCATTACCACATTACTTTCTAGCTACAGTTATTATAAGAGTTGGAGGTAATAATAAATTATTTATTACCTCTATAAGATAAGCTAAAACATATCCAAGATAAGTGCTATTATATTAGAAAATATTCTTTATATTTCCTAATGAATAATTATCATTGTCAGTAGCTATTAGATACATTCCATCAATCAACTTAAAAAAAAAACTCTCTATATTTAGGTCTCTGTTATTTAATATTCTACATTGAATTTTTTTTGTTTTTTTTTAATTGTTTTCCCCCCACACAAGGTGAAAATGCCACTAGAATGCTAGGGGTAATGGGGAGTGAAAGTGAATGAGAATGCAAAGATTGAAAATGGGAAGGAGTGAGGAAAGGATAAAAAAAAAAGAAAGAAATGGGTATGAAGACGGAAGATGGTGATTGTAGTTGCATTTTTAAAAAATTTTTTTTTTAATATTGTAGTCATCAGGGAAGCAAGAAATCTGAAGGGAGTTCCACATTTTGTAAGTGTTAGAAAAAAAAACTGTTAGGATAAAAATGATGGTTGCATCTAGCTAGTTCAACAGTAAAATGGTGATACCTAGTTGCCAATCTAGTAGCATGCTTAAATTCATGTATTTGGGGGCACCAGTGGTGGTGGTGGTGTGTGTGTGGGTGGGGGAAGCTCATCTGAGCAGTTACCATGAAAATATTTGTAGAACGGACAGAGGGAAACCATGTCACATTGATGAGAAAGTGATTGGTGACAAGATGCCTGGTCAGGATCAGTTGTATCAAAGACCCTTCTCTAGATTTTGTCAAGAATCTCAAGATGCACAGTAGGAGCACCAGGCCAGATATGGCAACAGTATTCAAGGCATGGATGAATGGTAGATTTGTAAATGTGTAAGATGGATATTTTTGTACCTGACACAGTGAACCAACCTTCCTTGTAGCAGATGCAGCAATTGTCTCTATATAGTCACTCCACTTCAAGTCACTGGAAAACATGAGGTCAAGAAGGCATATTGTTGCTCTCCTGGAGTTCAGCATCAACTATCCTGATGGTAGGCAGAAAAGGTTCTTTGTGGTGATTAAATGAAAGCAGTTTTGTTTTGGAGGTATTGAAATTTACAAGTTGTTTCTTGTCTCAGTTAACCACTGATTGGCAGTCCTTTTTAAGAATAGTTGTCAGGTTTACTTTGCTGGATTTGCTACTAAGGCAGGAGTAAATGGTAATGTCATCAGAATTAATACCTAGTTGTAAACTCATGGTATGATGGAGATCAATGATGAAGATCAGAAGCAGTCAGCTCTGAACTACGGAGGAGGACTTCCAACAAGCTGCTCTTGTTAATCAGTTTTCTGAAGTTCTCAGAGAATTTGTGACATTAAGAATTTGTTAATTTTTATCCAGTATATAGAGATGAAAATATAAAAATGAGTCAAGGTAAATAAAAAAGAATCCAGGAATAAACAAGTAGATATATATTACTTCGGGTTCTTTTTGTTCATTAACCCAATGGCTATTGCCTAATTGAAAGTAAGTTCTAGCTAATGCTCTTTTCAAAATATCTTAGCATTTAAAGTATTACTGGTAAGCTTTTAACGACCCCCTACTTCTTTCTAGATAATTTCTCTTAACTTTGATATGTTTTCTTAATGTAAAACATGTGAAATAAAACATTAAAATCAAACATTTGAACTATTTAAGCAAATTATAAAATTGAAAAGTCATTACTCCCTTGGGATCTTCAATTGGCATGTTTTACTTTTCATGTGATTGAAAAAATGTTGCTTTCTTAATTGGAAAATGAAATTAGGATTTGTGAAATTTGGTCGTTATAATATTCTCTTGGTATCCATCTTAATTTTAATATCTGAGTACCAACAAAAAAAAAAAAAAAATTATAAAGTAGGATACTGTCTTATGATTCTTGTTATTTTTTTTTTTTCAATTTTTTTTTTTTTAATTTTTTTTTTTTAATTTTTTTTTTTTTTTTTTTTTTTTTTCACTCAAGCAAGGTGATAATGCCACTAAGATGCAAGGGGTTACTGGGGTGAAAAGAAGATGAGAAGACTTTAGAAGACAATTGAAATTCAATCCTAAATGGGGAAACAAGAGATAAACATCTCCTGTCCAAAAAAAAAAAAAAAAAAAAAAACTGGGAACCAGACAATCTGGCCTTGATTATCATATCTTCCTCTTCCATCACATTTCTTACCTTCCAGTTTGAACATATTTTATTTCATGGCTTTATTAAATAAGATATTCAGGTTAGATGAATTTTTAGATTAGCTTAATAGAATTATGCAAAACTGGAAATTTTGTATCAATTCTTGATATCAAGTTAATGATACTTGTAAAATATAATTTATTTGTATTGTCAAATAATATATGAATTTAAGTAATTTGCAAATGCATTGGTGAAATTTTTTGTGTGAGAAATCTATAATTTTTCACTATACAATTAACTCTATTGTTGCATGGAAGAAAAAATTCTGATTTTTAAATCATTAAAATTCAAAGTCAATTTTTCCATAAATGTCACACATAAGAAAAGAATACTAATTTTTGAATCATTAAAAAATAAATATCCCCCAAAATTTCACAAAACAGAAAACCATGTAGTTTAAGTTTGTGGTCAATTACTATGGAGATATTCTATTGTTACATTAACATGAGGTATGTTCATTTATTATCATTGAGTAACTCCTCCTACTATTATGATACTGGAAGCTCTCAGTAGTATGTAGAGGAGACCAAGTTTCATGACTGATAACTGTATAAAGTCACATTGTTTCATATAGATACTAAAAATCAAATTCACAGCAGGTACTTTCAGCTGCAAACATATTTAGTAACAATGATGACTTTTTTTTAATTACATATACGATTAAAACTACTTCGAGGCACACTACACAATTTGAAACTTTAAAAAAGAGATGACTGGAATAATTTACATAATGCATGTCATGAGAAGTGTTCTGTAGCTGTTAAAAAACAAAGCAAAAATCTTGATAATCCCCACTCCCATTATATATTTTAACTTAATCTATATAATGGAGCTGAATGAAATCTATATTTCGCTTCAACTAGGATTTTTTTGTTAATATTTTTTGTTAGTTTTGTTTTAGATTTTTCTTTATATATATTATTTTAATATTTAAAAAAAATTGTTTATTTCTCTCTTCCCCACTGTCCTTTCAGAAGTTAAGCTAAGTATGAAGAAATAAGAAAGTTTTGTTAGGAGAAAAAAGGGTCTGAGCTGTTATATCAAATCTATCACTTTATATAGCAGTTAATGCTAGTCAATTTTATTACAGATATAACTCAAAGCAACAGATGTGGTTTTATTGGTTAATGCTGAGAATACCATGGGTGGAACATGTAAACAATGAGGAGTTCTACTTTCTATAGACTAGAAGGATATATACTATTAGAAAAAGATAGTTGAAATTCCTGGGACACATTATGAGGAAAAAGGGGATTGGAAAATTTAACACTCAGTAAGACATATGTGATGGATGAGCAAAAGGAAATGACAAGTAACTTACGTACTGAATTAGTTTGTGTGAATAGGGACAAAGATGGATGGTTAAAGAATCAAATGTTGTTTAGACTTACAGGAAACTGTGGAGAGCTATGATCAGCTTCGTCTTGAAGAGGTATGGCACATAAAAGAACAACCTATATTTATTTTAGTTAAATCCTATTTTTTTTTTTTTTTTTTTTTTTGATATTTAGGCTGTTAGCAAATCTTTTTTGCCCAGCTATTTTATTTGACTGGTATTTTTTTGAATAATGTATTTGACTGGTATTTTTTTTTTAATATTGCATATGACTTATTTTTTTTTTTTTAATATTGCATATGACTGTTATTTTTTTTTTTTAATATTGCATATGACTGTTACTTTTTTTTTTTAATATTGCATATGACTGTTACTTTTTTTTTTAATATTGCATTTGACTGTTACTTTTTGTTTTAATATTGCATTTGACTGTTAAATATGAAATCACTGCAGATTCTACAGACAAAAACCCCCAAAAAACAAAATTATTAATCCTAATATTTTAGTAA